GGGTAAACTTACCTTTTCTTTGACAATTTCTCGCATACCAACTAGCGAATTATGTGAGTCGCGAAGGTAAGCAAATGTCGGACCTGAAAAGAAATGTACTGAGTTTGACGGTTCCTTGTCTTTTAGAGAGGGAGATATGATATGTCTTTTGTCGTCTTTTGTTTTATAGTTGAAAATAATTGGTATTAAGATTTGAAGCAAATTACTGACATACTCTAACGAAAGTTTAACAACTGTCAACATCATATACCGGAAGATCCAAACAAAAAGTAGACAGGAAAAATCAGCTCATGAAAATTTCTCCAGTGGTGTTGGGAAGAAATAATTTACACAGAGGATTCACCGTATAGTTGAAGAGTACTGAATCTGTCACGTTCAAGAAAAATTCAAACGGCCTAATGTTCCGAAAACTCGCATAGATGTTCCTGATAAAATACTTACAGTAAGCTGGCGAGGATAAGGACTTACTGTGATAAAGATTTGAGCTGGATTTTTCAAAAAAAATCTTCAGAAATGATGGAAAACGGTGATAAGAAGAAAGTTCAACAAGCGATTATCACAATATAAAAAGCAAAGAAGATGCACAGAGAATGAATTTATAGTCATTCATGATTTCTCAAGCTGAAATTGGTGTAGTTTATGTTTGACATTTCCTGTAATTTAACGAATTGCTGGCTAGAACATTCTCGAGAATCTGTTCTTTGTGGTAAAAAAAACACTTATGAAGCTTCCATTCTGTACCTGTGTTTTTCGCAGATGAACCAATCTGCACTGTGGGCGTTGTTTTCTCTCCAAAGATGTAAGAATCAGCTACAATTTGTAGTGCATGTGTGGCATTTGCAGTAAAAACTACGGCATAGTCTTCCGGAGTGACGTCGAAATGTTCCAGAACCATGAAATAGGAGGAGCTTAGATTGATTTGATGCCCTTAGACAATTAACTCGAAGTTCTCGACAGAAGGACACTTTTTAGTTTTCTAGAGACGTTTCTTCACTTTAGAAATTTTGAAGATGTCGGAGGGCTCTTTTACATACTCTCTATTTCTACTGAAGAATAGAAAACACTTTCAAGGTCATTACAAGACTATTAATATCTAAAACATTCGTTCTGTCGGCTCGATTGAAAAAGACAAGAGAATAACGAGATAAATAATAGTGTGTAATAACTTTTGAAAAAATTTAAAAAAAAAGGAAGCTGCAGAACTTCCACCTATTTGTCTGAATCATTGGGAAGAGTCATGGTCATCAGTCATGATATGTATCAAAGTCGACAATCAAGTTGTGCTTTGTAGACAACATTCACGCGTAAACGTTGTGTGCGCACTATAGCCATTTTGCAAGTCGCAGGCAAGTCGCCGGCATTCTCAGATATGCTCGTGTTTTCGCGCAAATGTTGTCTGTACCGCAGGAGAACCATATTAACCACCAAAATTACTAGACTACATCAATGAAAAACTTTCAAACTAGCAAGCTCTATGGATTTTGAGTTTAAGATGATTTGAAACCTACCGAAGTCTGGCATTTTCCACCATCAAATGCGTTGCGGTAGCTGTCGAATGATGTGAGTGAGGATTAGCCAAAGGCATAGAAAGAGCAGCTTCGAACACCTCCTTCAGCTGTTGCTCGGAAGGAAGAGCTGCTCCAGCATGATCCAAGTACGGCATTGACTAGAGGAATGATTTCATAAAAGTGAATTTGCGAAATTACTAGAGGGCAAAAGGCCAAATTTGGAGAGAATGAGGACCACATGAGTAATGTGTACGATAATGAACCGAGAAAATGCGTAGATAGTCACCTATCTTATCGATCATCTGCCATTCGCCTATCATTTGTTCAATAACCGCCATCGATTAAGTGATTAATTACGATCGACAATGTTTCAAGCCTATAGTCATCACTTATTACGACAGTTTGACCTTGACTCGATTTCCTGTCTTGTACCAGAAGTCCTAGGAGTGCTTATCAGCTGATTAAGACCACCGTCAGTGTTGAAATGGAGGGATCAAAGAACACCCTTTTGTCTGTAAACAGTTATCATGACATGACGTACAGTGTTTAACATTTCTTGCTAATGTGTGCAACAACACTATTTTGACCATAAAATTGGCAGTGATCCAGATATAACTTTCCTTTTTTTCCGGGATTCTCTGTCGCTTGGGCTTAATCGTGCATGAAGGCGTGAAACTGAGTTTTTAATCGTGCATGAAAGCGTAAAATGTTTCATGCAAGCTTTTTTTTGAAGACCCGATGTTCCATCATTAGCATCCTAATTTGTGCATTTGCACACATAGCAAGGATTCTCCTACTCGACTGTAAATGTTAGTCCTGAACAAAGGCAGAGATTTTGATCGCGAAGCGGACGCGAACGCAGCGCCGAGCAGCTGTTATCGATGGAGCGTACGAGATGCAGACATTATAGGGCTAACCGCAAGCATGCCGCGTTCGCTTCTGCATATAGACATCCGCCTTCCTTTGGGATTACCCTTTAGCCCAACTGCAGCACAAGAGCGTCGCTGTGCTTTCGTGCAAATCACAAGAATTTTGAACTTGACTAAAGAGAGTAACCAGCGAGCATCTTCAAACACGCAATTCATGTCAGATATGATAGACTTTACTCTTTGTCAAAGATGTTTATTTGTTGTAGGATGTGAATCTTTATATCATTTCGCCATCAACTGATCGAAATTCCATTTACTTCTTGCCTTATTTATAACGCCTTTTTAGAATGTGTTCCAAAATAGTGGTCATTTTGAAATTGGCATGACGCATCGCAGTCTTGGTATGTTTACTTCCCGATATAGAACATCATAAAAAGACCTGTTCTCTGCGCATTCCGTCCGTCAAAGGCTGGCAAGATGCCAGGATTGTGCACGTGCAACGCAATTTCCAGCGTTGCGGCGCGCTTTCGCGTCTGTGCTTATCCCGGTTGGGACAGACTATTAACGGCACGATGAAGAGGCCAAAATTGACAACAGAAGGTCTTGACTGTATTCGAATAAGCAATTTGTTCTTGAGAGATTATGATTTTTTGCTTTTACTGGTAGTTGCTACATTTCATAGAAATGACCAACGCATTCCTGATGAGTCACCATTCGGAGCATAAATACTCGTCTTCAATCACACTGCCATCGCTTTACAATGCATGCCAGCTTTTGCTAGAAGTTACACATCTTTTCTGCAGTATCCTAAGTACAAGTTGCTTTTTCGTCCAGCTCCTAAAACTTTGAAAAACCAAAAAGCAAAGCCGAAGACTGCCCGAGTGGCAGAACGAGAGTGCAGGCGGCAGAGAGGCTGCCGCTGAGGGGAACGGCAGAGACGCACGTCGTCGTAAACATCCATCCACTGCCATTCACCAACGATCAAACAGCCAACTTAGCCTTTCAAGCTGTTTGCTGATCGTGTTTCGTTTGCTTCCGTATTTCCGCCGACGTATACCGCGTTTCCGCACTCGCGCATTGTGATTTTCCGTCGCTTTCGAGCTTTTTTTCTACGCAAATTCCGGCTATTTACTCAAAATCCTCTTTTTTCAGAATGGATTCGGACGAATTGAGCGACTTACAGTCTCGACTGTATAAAATGATACCAAAACAGACCCAGGATATCGTGAGTGATTTTTCACTTTCATTCAATATATTTCTTTTCATTTTTGCTTACATATTTTCTTTTATTTATTGATTTTCGGGTCATTTCTTTGTATCGCTTTACAGCTCTTTGCAATTAGAACATACCTTGAACCAATATTGTAATTATATTCACACCTGCTCATTTGAGCGCTAAAACATGTGTTTGATTAGCTTGAGAATGTGAGCTTTGATGCAGAAAAGGCAGAATTTGCACCTGCTGATCAGTAGCG